GAAGAATTGTACTCCTTATTCATGTAACTGTCACCCCTTGTATATGAACTTTACAATAACAATTAAAAAAACAATGTGGAAAGGGGTGAAAGTGATCAAGATATATTGATAAACTGATTTGTTACTTGCAAAGCTAAAGATAATAACAATAATAAAAGAAAATTATTTTTGATTATTTCTAAACATGATTGTTGTGTACCTTTGGAATAGCATATCATGTAGAATCATTTTATAACTGATGAAAACATAATACATATGCTCTATGCAATCATATACTTTATTCATCTTTAAATACAAATCAGTATATACCTAAACATTAATTTAGATTATGACAGTTTTCCAGTGTAAAGCTTCATACACTACAATTCCTTAATGAATAGTATTTAAATTATTTCTCTAATATAAAACAACCTGGCCTCTTATTGTCCTTATCCAAATTTACATTCAAGAATGCCATAGTACTAAAGTTACTTTAGTTTGCCCCCCTAACTTAACATACACAAGTGTCATCATGACTTGTCTTAAACAATAAATTTGCATGAAATACTAGGAAATGAGATGGGGATAGTCTGATAAAGGTATATACTACTTGCAGAGAAAATTTCCACTATAAATAAACATAAAAAGAGTTCTATCTTGTTTTGTGGTGTTAGCAGTAGTGATACTCCATTGTCTGTGATTGCTGTAAACCTGTCAGCTGAGAGACATCTGATAGCATAAAGAAAGTTGTGCTACTGTGCAAAATGTCAACAATTTAGAAACAGATATAATTAGGAAAATTCAAAAATAATACTTTGGATATGTTGTTTTCAGATGTAGAAATCATGATGTAGATAATTTCAGCACTTTCTGGGTCAGCAGATGAAAATATTTATGGAGTCAGTTACTTTAGTGGATCTGACAATGTCATTGGCCAAATTCAATAGCATGAATATTAGAATTGAGGGTAAATAATAAAACTTCAAAATGTAATAAATGCTTATCAAGTATGGTTAACCTTGACATGATTTTCAATATATTAAGTGCATTGTATTTTGCAAAAAGCATACTAAGTATGGAAACATCTGTGTCAAGTATTAAAAAGTTGTTTTGGAAATTTTGAGAAGGTACATAAAATTTCACTCTGCTTTAAAATATTCGTATAACCCCTGTATTGAACAACAGTAAACATTGTTTTTACTTCTTTCATTTCCCAATAATGGTTACTTTATTTGATTCTGACACTGAGGTTATAACTGTTAACATTAACATCCTAGTGTGGCTTGATGTTTGTACTTTATTTTTAATGAGATACATTCCTATTTCTAACCATTCTATGTAGTTTACATTGCTCAGTAAAAAGAAATTAATCTGAAAACTGCTATATCTTCCTCACAAAGACAGAGTGCAGAAATAATTACCACTCAATGAATGCTCAGTATGACTTTATGTATTTATATTACATTCTTGGCATATATAGATGGTAATACCATCTGCATAAGTGATCTGATTAGATCTATAAAACCAGGAATTTTAGTATTTTAGCCTTTATTTAATAATAAAAGTGAAGCCGATTGTAGTGAATTAATGATGAACCTTATATTCGTGGGGCAGAGATAAGAGAACAAAGGTTCAGAGCTAAGCTGGGCTAGATAATGATGCTCTGTTTCAAAAAATAATAGTATGTTCTTCCCTCTATGGTATGTCCACTATTGTCACTGTTTCTGATTTAATTTATTAAGCTTAATTCTGAATTGAAGATTTTTGTTCTGGGGCTGGGAAGATGGCTCAGTGGTACAATGCTTGCCTTATATGAATGAGGCCCTGGGTTTGATTCCTCAGTATCACATAAACAGAAAAACCTGGAAGTGGTGCTGTGGCTCAAGTGTTAGAGCACTACTAACTTTGAGCTGAAGAGTTGAGGGACAGTGCCCAGGCCCAGAATTCAGGCCCATGATTGACAAAAAAAAAAAGAAAAAGATTTTTGTTCCAAATTAATCATAGTACTTTTTTAGAGAATGAAACAAAGATAAAATGTATATATTTTTATGATATATTTAAACATTATATTCCAACATTTTTAAGAAGATAGATTAATCATTTACCAATACATCCTGCCAAAATAGGACAGAATCTGTAACCTGTGTTTAGTGTGATCAGCAAGCCTAACAGCTGCCTATACAGTCTATGTTTATGCTATTTTTCATTGTCTTTAACCCTGGAGATGAGTAGTAATCAACTCAGAGTAGTCTTCTTTGGAAATGAAACTGTGCCAAGTATTTATGCTCTGTGCTTTGTGCTTGTGTAGGACATTTTCTTTCTTTTTTTTTTTTTTGTTCGTTTGTTTCATTTTGTTGGTCATGGAGCTTGAACTCTGGGCTTGGGTGCTGTCCCTGAGCTCTTCAGCTCAGGGCGAGCGCTCTACCGCTTGAGCCACAACGCAACTTCCAGTTTTCTGGTGGTTTATTGGAGGTAAGAGTCTCAAGAACTTTCCTTCCCAGGCTGACTTTGAACCACGATCCTCATATCTCAGCCTCCTGAGTAGCTAGGTTTACAGGCGTGAGCCAAGGCGCCTGGCAACATTTTCAAGTAGTTTCAAATTTAGTAGTGTCTAAGCCTTGCTGTTTTTGTATCATGTCATCATTTCCTACTCCTTATTATAAGCACCAAGCAAACTCCTTCTGACCTATCCAGTAAATCTTAGTGGATTCCATCCATAAAATAACGGCAGAGTATATTATTCCGGAGTATATTTTTTTGTGGTTCCAATATGTCATTGAGAAATCTTCAGTGAGATTTGTTGACACTATCAAGCATAGTAATTCAAAGATTTACAATTCCAAGAATAGAAGAGAATTGAACAATCTAGGACATAAATATCATACTTTGCACAATCCTCTTCTCAATAGTATCATATGACTGGAAAATAAATAATAAGAAAAAAACATGATTGACACTACTATAACTTCTCTACTATGTAGAAACACTACAAGGTGAAGGTAAATAAAGCAAGTTATTACTGTATCATTTCCTGAACAAGGTGCAAATCTCTCCAGTTGTTGCAATGTAAACATGTAGAGTGTTACTCCCTTATCCAGATTTTCAAAAACAGAATAGATGACAAGTACATTGCAAAAGGTTTCTCACAAACCGTGAGAATATAAATTAAGTAAATGTAATTGCAAACTGAATGACTGAATGTTACTTTTGCTTTGTCTATGGCATAAGAGTCTGGGTCTAGGGCTGGGAAGGTGGCTCAGTGGTAGAGCGCTTGCCTTGCATACCTGAGGCCCTGGGTTCGATTCCTCAGCACCACATAAGCAAAAAGAAAAAAAAAGCCAGAAGTGGCGCTGTGGCTCAAGTGGTAGAGCGCTAGCCTTGAGCTGAAGAGCTGAGGGACAGCGCCCAGGCCCAGAGTTCAGGCCCCAAGACTGGACCGAAAAAAAAAAAAAGAGTCTGGGTCTAGCACAGATTTTGATCCCATTTCTTCCTTCCTTCCTTCCTTCCTTCCTTCCTTCCTTCCTTCCTTCCTTCCTTCCTTCCTTCTTTCCTTCCTTCCTCCTTTTCTTTTTGTGCAAGTGCTGTGTTTGAAATCAAGACCTGGGTGCTGTTCTTCAGCTTTTTCTCTCAAGGGTAACACTGTTAATTGGAGATAGGAGCCTTGTAAAACTTTCTTGATCAGACTGGCTTCAAACAGTGATTTCAGCTTCCTGATTAGCTAGGAATACTGGCATGTGTCAATGGTTGGTGATTTAATTTTTTAAGCATCAGAATATCTATAGCAAAAAATATGTATTGAAACCAGCTGAGTCTATTAGACTGAACAAAAAATAAATATTTTTGATTTGTATATGGATTAGTATAAATAACTCATTATACTCATATAAACAGATTTGTATCTATGTCTGCATGTGTCAATCAGAAGAGCTACTCTGCCTAACATTGTGATAAGGATGCTAATACAATACTGTACCAAAATGCTTAATGTGCTAGTTTTCATTCCACATTATAGACAAGGAAATTTTAGCACAGAGAGGCAAAGTCATCATCCCAAATCATGCTTAGGTGATCCCAGCCCCATCTTACTGCAAAATTCATTCTTTATTATACCGATCATCTTTTGATGATTGTCCTTCTATAACAACTAAAACAAAAACATGTCTGAGGTTATTTTTGGTGCATCTGAAAACCATTCATTTAAAAAAAATACATGTAAGTATAAAGAACAAAACCATGACTAATGGGTCTTTGACTGATTCTTTCACTTCCTTGAAAACATGACAGAGTACAAATATTCTGTATGAAATTTATATTGGCCACTATCCATGGCAGAAAACCCAAGTATGAAATGTTGAGAGTTTTGACCTAATGTGATGATACCTGACCTAAGTTTAGCTTTGTTATTAAAATTTTTAAGAATTTTCTGTGTATAGGAAACAAACAAACAAACAAAATGAGAAACAAAGAGAATCTTCCTACCAAAAATAATTGTATTATCAGGTTTATGTTTGGTTTTATATATATATATATACTTTATTTATAAATATTTATATATTTATATATAAATTTATATACAAAAACATGATAATACATGTAATATATATATATATTTAAATAACTACTAAGAATTGAACCATGCTAAGCACATGCCCTACTACTGAGCTATTTCCATCTCTACATTTTTAGTATATATTTCTGTTTTCCTCATTCTCTTCCTCTGCCTCTTCTTCCTCCTTTTTCTCCTATTTCACTGCCTTCCTCTAGATCCTTTTTGCTTTTGTCTTGCTTTTCCTTTTTGCTCTCTTTCATGATTTTGTTTTTGTTTGTTTTTGTTTTTGAGACAGGGTCTCAAGGACTTAAGCTCTCATGCAAACCTAGTTGGCCCTGAATTTTAGATATTCTTGACTCCAACTCTCAATAATGAGATGATAGTAGCTCACCTCTAGCCTTGGTTATACCTCTGTGTATGTGTGTGTGTGTGTGTGTGTGTGTGTGTGTGTGTTTGTGTATTCAATACATACAGGTCTTCCTTGCAGAATCTTCCACGAAAAGGGAAGAGATGTCCTCATCTACTCCTGCTTCATTCTTGGCAATACATGTATATGCTCCTGTATCTTCATAGCGCACATTGCTAATATGAACCTCACTGCCATTTGCTGAGAACAGAAGGCAAAAGCAAATTGTAAATGACAATTCCAGTTTTGGCACAGTGCTTTCTGATTACACAGCTCACTGAACTCTTCCTAATTAAACTATTTTCCTTCCACAGTGTGGAAGGATGCCAAATGCAGCATTCAAGTACATAGTGTACTGTTCTGCCATTTTATCACCAAGAACCCAATAGTCTATGTCGAATGGACACACTTATAATTTTTTTGTAATTTTTTAACTATAAAATTGTAAAATTATTATATTATTGGCATATTTATGTGCAATATTTAGCACATAGTAAGCTTTTGTAATAACAAGTGTTAGCAGTATTTTCCATTTGTAAGAAAATGCATGAAATGTTATTTTCAGTGTAAACTAACAACTACATGCTCTCCTGTGTATATCATCCTTAAACACATTTTACTGAGTTCTTATCACAAATCTGGGAAGAAAAACAGAAAGATAGTAGAATATGTTTGTATATAAGAGTTGAAGAGAGAGAAAAAATTTACCCAAAACTACTCTAATGCAATATGGACATTTACATGATCAATGTAACACCAAAGGGTTAAACAATAATTCAACTCTCAAATCTTGGTGAGATATTTTAAGCAAGTCTTTGAATAACAAATGAGTTTAATACACAATGTCAAACCTAGAGTATGATTAATTATTTACTAGAAATATACTAGATAATTTCATAAATTTTATTCCTTAATCATCCCAAATTTAATTTAATTATCAGCTGAAGGACATGAGATCTAGACAAAGAATTGTAACAAGTCATTCAAGCCTAAAAGCTTGAATGGACTCTGTCCATTTATGCAGCTCACACTCCATATTTATTGTGATCACTTCATATGATTCCCACCTTTACCTTTTCATTTTGATGAATATTTCTGTGTGTACATATATGCTCATGTGATTGTGTATGATCCATATTTTTTAAATCTCAAGAGCATCATGTACAGTAGACCAAGGCATGACCATCATTACAGGTAGAAGACAGGATTAGGTATGGCTGTGTTGGGAAGAAGGAAACAGAGCCAGTGGCAAAAATCAGGAAGTCATCACTGGAGCCAAGGCTTCCAGTGATGTGAATTGTAGACAGGCAGTGGTATGTGGATGGGGAACTGTTATTTAAATCATCTGATTTCTTTCTCGTTTTGCAAGAACATTCACTTTCCTCATTTTTTTATTCAGAGGAGAATCTATGTTTCAAAATAGGCAAATCAGTGTGTTGTTTTTGTTGTGCTGTGTAAAGCTAGATAATAAATATTTTAAGCTGTCTCTCTCACTCTCCCTTGCCACAGCATATTAAAGCAGAAAGTACAATAGTTTTTAAATGATCGGGTCTGTGCTCTAAAAAAAGCCCCAGACTATTTTATTTACAAAAATTGAGTCATCTTGACTAGCTGTATGAAGTTCTTAAACTAAACCCACACATTCCTATAAAAACTTTACTCCAATTGTGGTACAATTACCGATTAGCTGGGATCATAAATAAAAACCACCATGCCTGGCTTATTTGTTGAAAAGGGGTTTCAGACTAATCTTCAACTCTTTTGCCTAGACTAACTTGAACATCTCATGAAGTCTGCTCCCTAAGTTGTTAATATTAGCTCTCTATGTATGCAATTGTTGTAATCTTATATAATAACTTAACAATTATGTATATATGAATATAAAAATTTGCAGATATTCTGTGCATTAAAATAGTAACTTCTAAAGAATGTATTAGAAACATACAGAATAATTTATTTTTATATTGTAATTTGTAAAACACACAGGAAAATATAACTAAAATGCCTATATTTTTCAAACCTGCTGCAATGTGATACATATTTTAATGTATTATACATTTAAAAAATAATGTCACAATGTATTTATATGAAGACATCTGTTTTTCTACTTGCCATCTCTGTTGTAATTTGCAAGGCAAGTATCCACAACATGTAATTTAATATTTTACTTATCACCAAAGTAATGATATAACTAATCAGTATGACAAAATTATTAGTTAAAACATTAACAATTATAGACTAATTTAAGTGTCTTTGTTATATTCATTTTTTTTATTTTCTTGACATTCTCTAGAGACCTATAAGATTCATTTCCCTTTTATTTCTTCCAGATAAGTAAAATATTATAAATTTCAATGTAAATGTCCTGTATGATTATTTACAAGGAAAGAAATACAAGTAAGAAACACCTTGAACTGTGAGTTGTTTGGATAGTTTTGGTGTAATATCAATTCCATTCTTCAGCCAGCCAAGCTGAGGGTTGGGTATACCCTCTGCATGGCACCGAAGGCTTGCGGTGACTCCTGGCTCTCGGGTCTGACTCTCAGGATATACCCGGATGACTGGAGGAACTAGAAGAAGTACAAAAGATATTAAATTAGTAATTATTTTTCATCATTGGAGTCTGCAAAATACAAAAGTTCAATATTATAGTATAAAAAACTATGACATATACTTTAAGGACATTACATAGTTCTTAGATTCCTATTTGAATTTTCCACTAAAATTGATGAGAGTTACTAAGAGGAAGGTTATTCTGGGACTAATCCAGGCAATATCTCATATGAGTCAGAAAATCTTGTTTCATAAATTAAAGAAATCACAGAAAAATAATAAAATATCAATAGATTACAGAAATCATATGAAATAAGTTTCAGTACACCAAATGTGAGATCATGTTAGTATAAAAATTATACCATTTCTAAAAGATTTTACAGGATGACCCTTTGCAACAATGATATCCCCAGGACAGTATATTGGAAATGAACTTTACGACTTTGGGCAGGGAGGTGGGGTGGGGTGGGGAGGAATGTGGGAGGTTGGGGAGGGAAAACAAGGGAAAACAAGGGAAGGGACATCAATGATCTACAAGTACCATATTCATTACCTTACTCATGTAACTGTAACCCCTCTGTACAGCATCTTTACAATAAAATAAAATTAAAAAAAGAAACTCAAATGATGTAATTTTAGTTACCAAATCGAGTAGATCTGACGAGAAAGAAAGGAAAGATTTCCCGCACCCTAGCATGCTTTACAAAGCAGCAACACAGCATTTATAATAGCATCCAAAAGTAAAATACTTCAAAAATAATTAAATAATAGATTAAATTAATAAATTAAATAAACAGTACAAAAGAGTGTTCAAAGGATTTAAAGAAGTGTAAACAAATTGAAAGACATATTTCTTTTGGGGGGTGGGGGTCCGGTCGTGGGGCCTGAACTCTGGGCCTGAGCCTGTCCCTCAGCTCTTCAGCTCAAGGCTAGCACTCTACCACTTGAGCCACAGCACCACTTTTGGCTTTTTTCTTTTTGCTTGTGTGGTGCTGAGGAATCGAACCCAGGGCCTTAAGCATTCAAGGCAAGTGCTCTACCACTGAGCCAACTTCCCAGCCCCTTGAAAGACATATTGTGATCAGAAATAGAAAGAATTAGGAAGAAGGTAAGAATTATTGGTAAAAAGTTCATCTACAGTATAATGGAATACATACCAAAAATGTATTTTGAGGCTCCAAAGAGATAAAAGGAAGGAAGAGAGAAAGAAAGAAAGGAAAAAAGAAAGAACAAAAGAAAGGAAGAAAGAAAGGAAGAAAGAAAGAGAGAAAGAAAGAAAGAAAGAGAGAAAGAAAGAAAGCGAGAGAGAAAAAGAAAGAGAGAAAGGAAGGAAGGAAGGAAGAAGGAAGGAAGGAAGGAAAGAAGGAAGGAAGGAAGGAAGGAAGGAAAAGAAAGAAGAAGAAAGATAAAGGAAAAAAGAAAGAAAAAAATGGAAGGAAACAAAATGAAGTAAAACTTACAAGGAAGCCCGGCACCTGTCACTCATGTGTACAATCATAGCTAGTCAAGATACTGAGATCTGGAGAACAGAAATTAGTAACCAGTCCAGGCAAAATGTAAGACTAATTGTGTAGCTCATGGTGTAGAGTATCAACCAAGAACAGGAAAGGGGGAAAAACTTGAATTCAGAGGCTTATGCTTTCTTATTTCCCTTTCCAGTTCTTTGCCTGAGTTACTTATTTATAACTTTATTTGTTTGTACTTTCGAACTCTTGCAGTTATCAGGGAATAAGATAAGAGACAACATGTTCTCATAAGCCATGGCATTAGTAAGAAGTTAGATTAATATCAGGTTTCAACTAGTGTTTCCGGAGATCCTGTCAATATGATATTCTGAACTGGATCACTGAGTGCATCACTAGGAAGGAACCATACAATGTTGAGAGACTAATGGCAGAACTTCTGGTACCTTCAAATGTCTCTCAGAATCAGAAAGAAAAAGAGTAAATGGAAAGAGGAAGTGGGGGGATGAAGTCATAAAGTGAATATATATATCCTATGAAGCTAGGAAAATTAAGGGGATGGGTTGGGTTGGAAGGTATAGAGGAGAATATGAAAGGGATTATATTGATGAAGATGAATCAAACTTACAAACTAACATGTTGAATGATAACTCCTTTGTACAACTACTTAAAGATAATAAAAAAATATATTTTAAACATTCCTCACTTGAAGAACTTACAATCTTTACATTTCAAATAAATTCTAAAAACATTTCTTATATAGTCTGAAGCATGCAGCAAAATATTTCAAGGCTCTCTACAAGAAAATATAATCTGAAGCCATTAAAAACAGCAGCCAACTAAAATAAAACCACAAAGTTTTAGTCATTGGAGTTAGATAGTCATCTATGCGTCACATGTTTAACAAGTTAATAACTGAAAAATAAAATCTCATTTAAAGTGAAAAATCAAAAACACGAAATTTCAGCTAAAATACTAAATTAGAAAATTTAAAAATGTTAAAAGATAATAACAGTGATCATAAAGTCAATTCTCTGGGAGGGAGAGAAGATGGCGGAGGAGAAGCTGGAATCTGAACAAGCTCTCGCATAGAAAGCAGTTTTAGAGTTCCAGTGAACAGTCCTAAGCCAGAGAAACACACCAAGTGTGCCATCACAGGACAGAGAGTTAGACAAGTGAGGGAAAGCCAAGGCAAGAATACACATCTGAGCACTAGCCAGCAGCTGCCGGCGGAGGCGGCGGCAGGGTCGCGGTGGAGACCACAGCCGGGCAATACCTGAGCGCTCACACAGAGTCTGGGACGAAGGAGCCAGACGCAGCTGGTGAGCAGATTCTACTCAACACCAGCAAGAACCGACAAGAAGCAGACAGCTTCATCCTGCAGTTTGCAGAGACGACCCAGGATCCAAGACTCAGCGTGAGTAGAAGCCCGACATCCTCACTCCTTCTCAGGGAGCAGAGGAGGGAAGGCCACCCCTCCCCC